AATGTGTAACACCTCCCGAAACATCTGACAGACGTGGTGACGACGGCTGATGGCGTAAGAGTAGTCTTGAGCAGTTCAATGCAATAAATATATATGTAAGAATTATAATGAACACATTGAGGATCTTTAGGCAGTAGTACTCGAACATGATCCCAACTTTATTATAATGGCCGAAGCATGGCTGAAGAAAGCTATACTATATAGATGTCGAGGTTCCTCTTCTCAGATATACAACTGTGAGAAGAGACTGTGAAACAAGGGGAGATGATGTTGCAATTTTAGTTAAAGACAATATATTAGTTAGTGTTCTCCATACTATTGAAACCACACTCTGTAATCGAATGGTATACATTTGTCCAGACAACCAAATGCCCTAGTAAATGTACATGATACAGTCAAATCCCGCTACAACGAAGCTCATGGGGTGCGGAAAATATTTCGTTGAAGCGAAAATTTCATTGCAGTGAAATCGAAAAAATATACCTGATTTGAGCCACCAAAAACAAAAGAAGAGAGAGAAGGAAACTTTTATTTTGAAACAGTGCCCCAATCAATGCCCGGTGTCATACTGAGGTGGGAGGGCTCCTTAGTCCAGGAACCCTCTGGCTTCTACTGCCCTCTTGGACCTGGCGACGAGTTGTTTTTGGTCTTCTAGGTCCTCGGGGGCGAGCTTCGCCTCCCACGTTTCGGTTAGGTCTTCGTTCGTCCGTCGTGCTTCATTATCAGTCGTGTGTTGTAGCAGATTACGTCTGGCAATACACTGGCATGCAAGAAAAAAGTGTGCCAGGGTGTCCGGTACGTTGCAAAGCGGGCACATAGAGCTATATCTCGCTGGGTAGGGACGGTGCATTAGGACCCCATGTGTGTATGTGCTGATTTGCAGGCGTCTCAGTATTACGCTTTCCTCTTTTGTAAATTTTGGGTGTGGTGGAGGGTATACTCGTCGCTCCAGCCTGTAATGCTGGAGTAACGACGAGTAGGTGTTTTGAACAACTTCCGTCTCCTCAACGACGGGTCGAATGTCCTGTGGGCAGGGGGCAGCCCGGCTGACGTACTCGCGGGCAGCGGCGTGGGCCGCTTCATTTTCCTGCAGACCTTTGTGTCCTGGCACCAATAATATACAAGTGTATGGGAGTGGAGTGCTTCGCCGTTTCAAAATATTGATGACATTGGCTGAGATATGGCCCTTAGCGAAATTCCTGCAGGCGGCTTGTGAGTCGGTGAAAATCACCGCGACGTCTGTACATTTTGTGGTTGCTAGAGCGATTGCCGATTCTTCTGCGGCGTCGGGATTGAATGCATTGACCATGGCCGACGCTAATTCTCGGCCTTGAAATCTATGACACTGACAGCGTAAGCGTTTCTATGCGGATACTTGGCCGCGTCAGTGTAGCGGGCACCCGGGTCTTCCTTGAAATTTGGTTGAATAGCGTTAGCTCTAGCCTTGCGTCTGCTTTTATGGAAAGTAAGATGCATGTTGCGTGGAATAGATGCGACGGACAGCGACTCTCTAACGTACAGCGGGATGCGCTTTTTCCGGTCTGCATCGATGATGAACGTGTCGCCGTAGTTGAGGTGCCGGAGCGCCGACCTCCCCGTGGGCGTCAGCTTGAGCCTCTTCAGCTGACTGTTCCTATGCGCTTCAATGAGCTCTTGCAACGTGTTATAGACGCCCATCTTTAGGAGATGTGTGGTACAGGCCATTGGCGGAAGTCCCAGGGCTACTTTAGTGGCCTTTCTTAACATGATATCAAGTTTTTCGATTTCAGTGGTTTTCAAATTCAGTTACGGCGTGCCATACGTAATGCAGCTGGTGAACAGAGCTTGCATTATACGTAGCGTGTCGTGCTCTTTGAGTCTGTTTCGTTGATTCGCGATTCTCTCAACGAGGTGCGTGAGTTGTGATAGTGTTCGTTGGAGTCTCGGTAAAGTGGCATCTCCCGATTCATCCTTGTAGATGTGAACTCTAAGTACTCACAGGGTCTCGACTTTTGGGATTAAGGTCCCTTTCAGTGTTACACTAGGGTCGGGCTCGTCGTATAGAGGGGGTCTGCCTCTTATTCTCGCTTTGAGGACGAGGTGCTCGGATTTCTCGGGGGCACAGCAGAGACCGCAGTTTCTGAGATGCCGTTTGATGGTATCTACAGCGGTTTGTAGGCAGGTCTCTTGTCTCCCAGTGTTCGAAGCCCTGGTCCAGAGCGTGATGTCATCAGCATAGATCGCATGCAGTAAATCTGGTATTTTGTCGAAAATTTTTGGCAGATTGATCATAGCCACATTGAAAAGTAAAGGCGAGATGACCAAACCCTGCGGGGCGCCTTTTTTCGGTAGTTGGAAGCTTTTGCTGCGGATGTTGCATATGCCGACAGTTGCCGTACGGTCCGTCAAAAAGTATTTGACATATGTGTAGGTTCTAATGCCGCAGCCAATGCCTTCGAGGTTGTTGAGGATTGCGTCGTGGCTGACGTTATTGAAGGCCGCCTTAACGTCGTCTCCGAGTATGGAGTACTTTCTTCGATGGGCGAAGTGATCAAGGAGGTCTTCTTTGAATAGAAGAGCATGTCGTGCTTCGAAAGATGCTGCCTGAAGCCAAACATGGTGTCCGGTAGGTGTCCACTGTCTTCCAGGTACTGGGTTAAGTGGTCATGCACCATGTGTTCGAACAGCTTTCCCACGCACGAGGTGAGAAAAATCGAGGCGTAGGTTCTCAATGCCGACTGGTTTCTTAGGCTTAGGGATCATGGTGATTTCTGAGTGCTTCCATACCACAAGTAGCTCTCCTTTACCCCAGCAGTCGTTGTAATATCGGAGAAGAGCCGTGGTGGCCTGGTGCGGCAGGTTGCACAAGTGCTTGTTGATGATCCTGTCTGTTCCGGGGCTGGTATTTCTTGTTAACTTCATTAGGGCTGTGTGCAGTTCAGCCTGGCTGAAGGGCCGGTCGAGTTCAGTGTTTGGTGCGCCAGCGTATTCTTTGGTGTGAATTGAAGCCCCAGTGGGTGCATCGCCACATAACTTCTTTTGTGTTTCTTTTAGGAGGTGTTCTTCTGTACCGGCGTAGTTTCGAATAAGCCTCTGAAGGTGCTGCTTCTGCGCTGCTTTGAAGGGTTGCGTGGCTATAAGTGTGCGTAGCAGATGCCAGGTCTTCTTGGTGCTCAGAGTCCCCAGCAGCTTGTCGCAGAAAGCGTGCCAGTTCTGCCTGGCCAATTGGTTCGCATAATCTTGAGATTGCTCGGTGAGGAGAGAAATGCGTTTCCGTAACTTTCTGTTTAGTTTTTGCCGCTTCCACCATTTTGGAAGTCCTCTTCTAGCCTCCCAAAGGTGGAGGAGATGTGCGTCGACAACGGGTGTATCGACATCAAGCTGTATGTCCTTAGTGTAGCCTTCGGTGATTTTGAGCACATTCTTAAACCAGTCTTTGATGTCGATTATGATAGTTTCAACGTCGAGATCATTTCTAAAGGATTACCATTCTGTTAACCACGCTATTCCAGTCTTGGTCTGCTTACGAGTATGCGCTACAGAGAGTTGGATGATGTGATGATCACTACCTAAAGTTTCCGGTAGCAGACTCCACTCTGCCCCAGTAATGTTCGTCGTAAATGTAAGATCGGGATTCGTATCCCTGGAGACACTGTTCCCTATTCTCGTCTTCTGAAGAGGATTGTTCCACAGGGTTAGTCTGTGATGTTTAGCAGTATCGTGCACCCTAGAACCCTTCCTCGTGGTGATATGATAGCCCCATGCCGTGTGAGAGGCGTTAAAGTCTCCCATTATTATGATCAGGTGGCCATTCGTGCATTTCCTGATTTCTCGTATAAAGTGATCGAAGTCTGGTAGTTGGTCTCGTGGGGGGCTATATATATTGGTTATGAAAAGACTTTGCTGCGTCTTTCGTTCCGGCAAAATCTCTATTAAAATATGTTCTATCTGAGTGTCCTCGATTTCGTGTTTTTGCGTTGAAAGTGCTTTTTTGACAAGTATGGCAGTGCGTTGGGTTTGTGCGCAGGTCGTGTACCCTTGCTGTCGTACGTTCTGCGTGTTGGTTTCTTGAAGTGCAATGATGTCTGGATGGTTAAGCTTGATGAATTCTTGTAGGCTTGCGTGTCGAGGGCGGTATGACCGACAGTTCCATTGCCATATGCGTAAAGTTGAATGCTGGTTCTTATACTTATGGCTTGGGACTGCCATCTTCGATCGATTCGATGTCAAGCCTGCGATCGTGACTTGGCGAGACTGAGCGAGAAGCACTGTGACTGTTCGCTCGTGCCTTCTTCCAAGTCATTTGGCGTGGGTTGTTCAAGCTGTCGAACTGTGGCATGGTTACGCAAGTTTTCTTCACGTGCACGATGAAATTGTTGGCTTGCGCAGCAATCCCATCAATTTTGGCATTAAGCGTAGTATCTTGTGTTCAAACATTGGGGCTGTTTTTTCTATTGCTGAGTGGACAATCTTTTCCATCGTGGCGTGCATGTTATTCAAAAAAGATTCTTCGAATATCGTGCACCTTGCGTTCACTAGGGCTTGGATCCCTACCTCGGTCAGCGTCGTTGCCGGCTCTGTGCTTGAGTTTGCTTGTTCTTGATATTCTTCTGCATTGCCCGAATGTTCTGCTGATGCGTGCACTCTTCAAGTAGTTTTTCAATGAGCTCTTGCTGTCGTTTTTAATTCTGAAGCAGTTTATTTATGAGGCTTTGTTGGCTTTGCAGTTGGCTGTGCTGATTCTGGAGCCTTTTTTCCTGATTTTTCAGTTTATCTTCGAGAACCTGTATGGATGAGGTGTCCGACTTCGAGGAGGTTAAGCTGCTGCTGCCGTTAGATCCACTTGCCATGGTAGCGTAGCTCGCACGTTTAACGGAACGCGAGCGTGTGCGAGAGTGGGAGCTTAAACTGGAACGCAGTATTGATTTGGATCTGCCGCGTCTCTATTCACGGCCCTCATTATTACTGTTAGAGGTAGCAGCTGATGTGTTAACCTCAGGCAGAGTCCTTCAATACTTTTCTGGTCACGAAACTTCTCCGTAACGCTATGGGAGAGCTTCATATGGGGATCAAAGCTCCCGCGCGGTGGCGCTACGAGTCTGGTGAAGGCGGCTTGGACGGCGGCGGCCGCATTTGCAGCGTTTGCAGTGCGTTGGAGCGCGAGCTTACTGGTTTGTTTGTTGTGTGGTATAGCTGTCTACACTCATCACGGACGGCAAACTATGTGAACTACCATGCCTCTGACGTGCTGCGTACCTGGTTGCCGCTCTGGCTATCGGAGTTGTACAGAAAAAGCTTCGCTGTTCTGCCTCCCAAGCGACCGCGAACAACGCGACAGGTGGAAGCGAGCCATTCCACGACAGGAGACGGGCGCTTTCAACTTCGAGTCGAAGGCCGTTCGTGTGTGCGAGAAACATTTCGACACCACGGACATTATTCGAGCCGATGAGTTCAGAATAAGTGGACAATCTGTGCTTCTGCAGCGCGAGAAGCCTAAGCTCCGCGTCGGTGCCATACCCCGGATATTTGAAAACCTGCCGGCGTATCTTACGAAGCCCAAGCCACGGTCGCGCTCACAGCGAGAAAATCCGCCTGCAAAACGTCGTCGCGTTTCGTCGCCGAACAACGATGGCACTGCAGCTTCTGTGAGCTCCAGCACAGAGCCCTGCGATCCTGAAGCAGCCGGAGATGATGGTAAGCCTCCATTCGCGTTGCCTTGTTTTCTTGTTTCACTATGTTGAGAGCCTGTATTGCCTGTGTGCTGCGTGATGTCGCATTATATTGATCCATATTTCTTCGTTTGACAGGTGGAGTGATAAGCACTGGAAGCTGCACAGAGATGGCATGCCAGACAGAGGGAAATGTCTGCTCCATCTCAGAGCTCCACGCAGTTAAAGACCAGCTTCGAAGCACTAAGCAGCAACTTCGTTTGTGCCAAGTGAAGATTGCGAAATTGACAGTGCAAGCGAATAGGAGCAGAAGATCGCACCAAGACGTTCAGAAGCTTTCGGCTCGCGAGAAGCTCATTTTTGACCACTGGCTCATGAAAGCCAACGCGAAGTCTGCAACAGCTGCGCGGTAAGTTCCAAATACCCCATCACACACGTAACATTGCTATTGGATTGCCCCTTTTGCGTTTGAAAATGTTATCTCAAGGTGTAGCCTTCATTTATTCATCATGTATTTGTATCTGTTGTACCGCAAAACAATATGCTATTGAGGCAGACATTGGTTTGGCCGTTTTGTGTAGTGTTATTTCTAATTTCGGGAAAAATTGCAGGTTTGTTTGGGCAAATATACTTTCTTCAGTTTTTATAACACCATTCTCATTATTTTTTGCTTTGCATGAATAGTTTCCAACACGCTCATTGTGGAAAACAAATTTGCAATTCATTCTCTCCAGGTACAAAAAAGAGTGGATTTATGACTGCTTGCTGCTAAAGATAAAGTCCACAGCAGTCTACACTTTTCTTCATGAAAATGAATTTTTGCCCCTTCCAAATCCCCGCACCCTCTATGGCTACCTCAGAAATCTGAAAGCTGATTTTGGCTTCGACAGCACTTTGTTCACGGTTCTGTGTGAAAAGCTAGAAGCAGTTCCAGAAAGAGAGCGTCGAGGTAAGAAGCAGTACTCATTTTTATAATTGTATTATATTCAGCAGCGCAATTGAGACAAGATGTTAACCTACCCAAAACTTTCCAGGAGTGCTCATGTTCGATGAAATGAGCGTCAGAAAAAGCGTCCACATTCGCGAGTCGGACATGGCACTGCTGGGCAAGGTGGATTTCGCCGAACACACACGACCAGGTGACCATGGCAAAGACGGCGACCACGTGCTGGTCTTTCTGTTTCGGCCTTTTCTGGGAGGGTGGTCACAAACTGTGGGCACATTTTGTGCTTCTGGTGCTGCCCCAGGATCAATCGTGGCGAAGCTCCTTTTGCAGTGCATTGTTCACCTTACAAACGCTGGTGTTGTTGTTGACGCAGTGACCTGCGACAACTCCACATCAAACCAATCAGCCTTGAGATCTCTGGGTACGTCTTTTCAAATTTTATTTAGCTGTGGTTAGTGATGTAGTAGAAAAACAAGTGTACTATTAAACTGTTTTTCTCTCAAGGTGTCAACGGGGACATGCACAAGCTTCAAACGTGTTTTGAACACCCGTGTGAGCCCTCAAAGCAAGTCCACGTTGTAATTGATCCACCGCACATATTTAAGTGCATCAGAAACAACTTGCTCAAAGTGGGCAAGTTTTTGGTAAGTAAAAAAAAGTTGCATGTGAATGCCTTGACCTGTGCATAAACTATTCAGTTTAAAAAAAAATTTGTCACTTGTCCTTATGTTGCAGCTCCCTCAAGGACAGGAGGTGTTCCACTGTCACTACAAGGACTTACTGGACTATGAAGAAGAACAGGCTGGACTCCGGGCTGTACCGAAGTTAACGAAAGCCCATATTTTCCCCAATGCGTTCCAAAAGATGAGCGTGAAGTTGGCTGTCCAGGCAAGTCATGCACGCAGCTATGTTCAGTGCAAAGTGTATTTCAAAAACATCTGCTCACACGTTTTGGGAAGTAAACTTAAAATCCTTTTTTTCCACACATTTTACAGCTGTTCAGTGAGAGTACTGCTTCGGCCATGGAGTTTTATAGCGAGCAGGAAGACTGCAAGAAGCTCCATGGGTCGGCTGCAACATCGCAATTCACAAGAACATTGAACAAGCTGTTCGACTGCCTGAACTCTCGGAGGCCAGACCATGTTCGATTCAACGAAGCACAACACATTGCTGTGAGATTATTACATGTGTTATGAAGTGTTTTTCGTGTACTATAGATGAAGCATAATTTTATTCCAGGTGTTGAAGGACAGCATTGCATGGCTGGACAACTGGGAGAAATACATCAAGACATTACCGACCCAGAGGCAAGTCTGCTTTCTGAGTAAGCAGACATGTGGAGCCCTCAGACTGACACTGCATAGCTCAGTTGCACTCATCGAGAGCTTGCTGTTGTCTGGGTTTCGTTACGTTCTCGTTGGGAACTTCGGACAAGATCCTCTAGAGGTAAACATGATGACTTTTATGTGTATAAATGTGCTATGAATTTCTCATTGTTGCGATAAATTGATTTTTTCTTTCTAGAGGTTTTTCGGCATCGTCAGGCATGTTGCTGGTGACGGAGGGCAGCCGACTGTGCAACATTTTTTGTTCATCTATCGGATGCTCTCTGTAAACAACCTAGTTCGGCCGCCAAAACGGGCCTCGGTCGAGGGAGATGGACCCCAGCTGTTGCTCAAGCTCCAGGGCCTCTTTGACAAGGGAAAACCTGCCTCCAGTCAGGTAACGTGCCCCTTGCTTTTATTTATTAGCTCTAGTTTCTTTTTTTCAGGAGCAGTTTCACTACACAAATGACCAAATAACCAAATGAAACATAATGTGTTTTTGCATTTACGAATCTCAACTTATACATTGAAAGATTTGAAACTTGGAATGTATTTTGCAGATTGACATGTTGGCGGTCCTCTTTGATGACGTTCTTGAGGAGCCGGGAGAGGCAGTGAACAATGCATCCGTGCCTGACGTTACGCTCTCCACCAAAGAGTGCATTCTTGATTATCTTGCCGGTTACGTGGTAAAGAAGTTTTCAACGATAAGCTGCACTGACTGCGTGGGAACACTCAAGAGCCAGACACGAGAGCCAACTGACCTAATCCAGAAGAAGTCAAGAGGATTCCTGCAAGTGCCCTCATCCCAGCTTCTCAGCCTGTTGCGCATTGTGGAAGGACATGTTGAAGAACTGACTGTGGACACAGTTGCATGTGCCGATGTGTATGCGAACATTGTTGACCAAGTTTTGCTCGACAGCCGCATTGCTTCTGCTGGTGTGGGCTGTAGGTTGCACTATGTGGGTACCACAGCAGAGGTTGTTCATTTTTTCTTGAGGTGCCGCCTGCACTTTTACACCAGGGAAAAAAACAAGCTGACACGAGCGACGCGGCGAGCAAACTGCCCAGCAAATGGTGGCAACAAGCCCCATGGGTAGCAGATGTTCTGTTTGTCATGCTATGTAAAGCCCAACTGTTGTGTTTTGTGTTTGCTAGTGACAAAAAACACTTGCACATTTGTGTTCCTAGTTGCTTGTGTGACGTTGTTTATTTCCTTTATCCGCCATGCTATTGCCGTAAACTTGTATGAATAAACACTTGCACCACAGCCGCGGCGCGTTTTCTAGTCATTTGCATGCGCTTGGCAGCTGCCTGCGACGATCAGCAAGTGGCCAGTCAGGTTACTGTCATCTGTGTGGCGGAACCAAAATCCACGGCGGCGACATTTTGATTATCCAATCAGGTATTTTGAATTTGCAAAGCGGAGCATGGCTAGCTTTGCCTGTATTTCTTTTTTAATTTTTTTTAGTGTCCCCGCCGCGGTGGCTCAGGGGCTAGGGCGCTGTGCTGATGATGATGAGCCCAAGGACGCGGGTTCCCAGCCGCTTTTCTGATGGAGGCGAAAAGAGAAAATGCCTGTGTTTTAGAGATTCCCGCGCATGTTAAAGATACCTGGGTGGTTAAAATTATTCCGGAGAGCTACACCAGAGTCCTTCAATGCTTGAAGGACTCTGGCTACACTACGGCGCGCGCCCGATTGCCTGCATAGCGTCAGCGCGTTAAACCTCATAACCAAGTAATCAATTAACTTGTCGTTTTGGTGGGACGAGTGTGTCAGACACTGACCATACGAGTTTTTCTGTTGACACCCTATACCTATGTTGACAGCCGGGAAAGTCGCTCAAGTGTGTAGCATTTACTCCTACGCGCGCTCATTATGCTGCTTCCATTTCGTGAGCGTTTTTCTTCATCATGTTGATGCTCACTTTCCAAACCTAGGTTATTTTTGTACATTATTAGCGCGCTATAAAATCGCGCAGACACAGCGCTAACCCAACGTGCTGTACGTTTGCACACCTATTTGCTAAGCGCAGCATGTCGCCCAGGGCTGTATATACCGATTTAAATCTGGTGCTGGTTAACTCAAATGTAGGAAACTGCAAAGACTACTCAAAAATCGAAAACGCCAGATGTCCTCCTTCTCAAAGCGAGAACGTAGCGGCCGTGACTACCGCAACGAACGAACGCTGCAACATATACGACTCAGTAACACGCGTGGCCTTGCCTCTATTTCACAGCTAAGCTAAGCGTCAACTGAATCAAAAACACGCACACTTCGCTCGCGTCGCTCGCGTTTTTACAAGTCGCGTTTTTACAGGTGGAAATGAAGAGCAGATGAAATTAGGCGCATTGCCGACGGAGAAACAGCCGGCCCGCAAGCGTCGCCGGCGAAGCCTTCACGCTAACAGGGGCGATCCTAGCGGCAGCTTTTGTCTTTTGTCCCTGAATGAAACTTCGGCCGGAGTTTCGTGACCAGAAAAGCATTGAAGGACTCTGCCTCAGGGAACTCTTCCCCACTGGCGTTCCAGTTGTTGTCTATTTCTTGAAGCCTCTTGAGACGCTGTTGTTTTACGTGGTATGGTGGTGGACTTGGCTTTAGTGTCCTTTTGCATTCCTTACTTGCTGTTTCGTGTCCTTCTCCCCAGATCTTGCAGATGGGTGCACATTCATATCTCTACGTTTGTCCGGCTTTGCCGCATATATAGCAGAAATCCGGGATAGGTTTCGGACAAACGTCCTGGCGGTGACCCGTAATGCCACAAGCTCGGCAATACTGCACTGACTTACGATATGGTCTGCAGCGGAAGTCGACGCTCTGGAAAATTATGTAGTAGGGAACGTGCGGTCCTTCAAAGAAGGCGACTGCCACGGTCGATTGACCTAGCATTCGGGCGTGAATAACTGTGTATCTTGCCGGTTCGCGAATTCCAGCCATGAGTTCTGCGGTGCTAATACCAAAAACAAAAGAACATTTATTTTTATAATTAAAAAAGTGTCTACTGTTTACCATTCTTTGCCAGTTGCATCATGACGCCACTCTCAGTCGTGCATAGTGAGGCCATGGTAAAAAGCATGCAGAAACAACAACGCCTGCAACCGCTTTCGTGAACGTACCAAACAGTTGCATTAACACGTTAACACGAGCAGCTGTCTGCCGTCAAAGTGTATCCGACAAAGTCGAGATGGAGGCGGGGTTTCGTGGAGCGGCGATTTTTGCCTTATTCTATGCCATTCTTATCATCCAATGACTCGCGGCTAGCTGATTTGGTTGATATTACAAAGGAAAAGCCGCTCTGATTAGGTACCACACTGGCGAAGCACGAATAAAGCATTGGAATCAGAAAAGGCATCGCTCCGTGGTTACATGAAGCGATGCTTTTCACCCAGCACCCAACATGCAGCTGCCACACCCAGCAGCTGGGGCAGCTGCACGAAGGATACCATGAACTGAGCGACTGAGCTTCAGCTTCGAATCATTTGCGGCTCGAAAGCAAGCTGCGGCTCGAAAACAAGCTTCGCCTCGAAAGCAAGCCAGTGGCGAAATTGGAGCAGTCTCATTGCCATCACTATCGAGACATGGCGACGCCCATGCTTGCTGAACAGCGGCGGTTTCTGGTGGTGCCAACGCATGTTTTAGGCTTTGTCGACGTAATTTCAGGTTCTGAAAATACATCAAAATCTTAAAGATTGGGTTTCTTGTGTAGCAATAAATATCTGAGCCTGTAATCGCATCGTGAAATCTTGTTGAAGCAGGATGGCAGGAGAAAAAGTGTTCGTTGTGGCGACAATATTTATGCATTGACTCACATAGACTGCTGATGAGGAACCGTGAATTCGCCTTTGTAGTGGAAATTTCGTTGAAGCCGCATTCTTTGTAGTGGGGTTCGACTGTAACTTAAGAAGCTTCATGGACTTACACCTGAAGCATGATGATAATATTATCCTCAAGAGATTTTAATATCCATGGAATTAATTGGTCGATGCTCATTTCAGAGGGCAGCGAAGTGATTAAAGCTGCTAGAGCTCACTTTCTGCGAAAATCTGACTCAGGTTGTCTCATCTTGCGTGCGTCTGGGTCCAACTGCTCCCTCAGCACTTGACTGGATAAGCTTCTCTGGATCACTACTCCCGTTTCTCTGTATGTGTGAAATTGATGATGGTCTTTCTAATCATAATGTTTGCCAATGACTTAGCTATACTCGAACAACTACAGCAGTCATATTGCTCGTTTACAGAAAGGTACCCATTCAACAATGTAACTATGGCAGCTTTTTTTATTTTACAATAAAATACTTTCGGTAAATCAGTGAAACACGAAAGTAAAATGTATCCCTAGAAAAGTAGTTTAACATTTACTGTTTAATGACATAAAAGAGCTTGTGCAATGTCTATTGGTATTTCACAGCTATTGCACTGCTTAACTTGCATGCATCCACGTTCTCGCCTTAGTCATACATCTCCATCCCGTAACCACCATCTATCATTAGTAAATAAACAAACCCTTGTGTTGATACATGTTTGTGGCAGCTCTAGCTGGTAAGGATGAGAGAGAAACCAGAGAAAATGATGTGACAGCCATGAGAGCATTACTGATTGGAGGCCAAACTTGGTCTAATGTCGCCTATTTGCGCCACGTTGGAGTTAAACACCATTGCTTGACAAGAGAGAAAAGAAACAAATGGCACGTCTTCCCTTTGGCTAGCCGCGATTGTTCGCGGAGCTAGCGTGTGTGCGGGATGCAGGGTTGAAGCCTGACTATAGTGAACTAGAGTATACTCTAGTTCACTATAGCCAGACGAAACCTGCGGGTGCCGCATAACTATATTGTTCTAGAAGGTTTTGTAGTGGCAAAAGCAAGGCGCTTCTCGTGAGAATAAAAAAGCTGATGCCGTCTGTGGCGCTGCAGTAGCTACTGCGAGATGTTGGTGTGGGGAAACTGGTACAGGCCCGGTACAACATCACAAATATTTTTTTTTAGATGCAAAGCCGCTCTTTGACTAGACTGTGTGACGCTCTCCTTCCGTCCACACAGCTCCCCTCGCCGCAGGTGTTGGAGCGGTGTCATGTAGCTCACGCCCTCCTAGCAGTGCGCGGTACTGTCTCTTTGCCTTCTCTCTCTCCACCCACTCGCAACACTTGAGCCCACTTCTTACGTGAGCATCGTCTCACCTACCCCACCTCTCTCCATCTGTCGGCGAGAAGAAGCCGCAAGCTAACGCGTGCACCCGTGTTGAGAATCTCGCAGCGTTGACAATGTGGACAGCACACCGCTTCTTGCCACGCGATCGTGCAGATGGGCGGGACGCCGTCGCGGCATGCTTCCAGCTAGTGTGCGTGTACCTTTAACCAGCTGGCGTTAAGAGGCTCAGCGAAGCCAATCACGCTCGTGAATGGCGACGTCAACACCAATGAGGCATGAGCCGAGCCAAGAAAGCCGAACGCAAGCTTCGACACTTGAAGACCAACGACACCAACAAGATGCGAGTCAAGAACACCGGTCGCATTCGAGAATACAGATGGCGCGCGGGTAACACCGAGAGACAGGAGCCAAGAAAGCCGAACGTCTTTAATGTGTCTCCCCTTTCCTGTCTTTGTGTTTAAAGCAAATGTTTACTCGAGTAAACGCTACGCCGAGTTTCGCTTCAAACTGTTTTTACAGCACCTGCGTCGACGCCTGTGTCAACCGGGACCACGCCGTGCGCACCACTGCTGCTTCGCATTCCATCGAGATTCCCTTCAGGAAGATGGTCCATAGTATTAGGGGCGAAGCTCCTTAAGCTGTAGGTCGTGCATCCGCTATGTATGTAGTAGTAGTCGTAGTAGTAGGTAGCCACCTCTCGTTTAGTCCTTAGAATGTTTGCTCAACGGCCATACTTCTATAAGATGAATATATGATGAAAAAATGTGAGATGGCGATACTTGGAGCATTCACTAAATGGACGGAAGGATAGACACATATGCAGACAGACAAGCAGACGAACGGATGGACCAACACACAAACGGATGGTTCGACGCACGGACAAACAGATGCACAGACGAACGGACGCAACAAATGGACGAATGGAAGCGCAGAAAGACCGAGACACGCTTCGCCCCACTCATCATCACTCGCTCCGTGAATATGCCGTGATTTTTTTTTTTTTCAGACTGATGTGCTATGCGTAAAAACTAGGCTTGTGCGAATATTCGAATGCTTCGAATATTCGAACGAATAGGCGAGTATTCGAATATTCGAACAAATAGGAGAGTATTCGAATTCGCTTTGATTCG